TGAGAAGATTTCATCCCCGTGGTCCCCTATCACATTCTTGGGCCTCGTGACTGCTGAGAAGCTTGGGCGATGACGAAACTCATACATGTAAGTGGGGGCGCCGGCATCTGAGAAGACATGATTGATGCACGTTCATTTTACTCGTTCCACACCTGCATGGTGTCAAGGCTTCAGGGGCACTGAGCACCCAGGGAATTACTGGCACACCTGGGTCCTGTGCACAAACAAACAACAATGTGAACAGCAGCTTCCCACATGAGTGCCAGTGGTGTGCTGGACAGTGTCCCCCGCGTGAGGGATCCGCATCATAGAGAACTGAGATTCTGTAAAGGGTCCTGGCTTGCAGACTAGGTGAAGGGGGACCCGTAGAAAAGGAAGGACCCAGAAGGAACACCTCCTCTCTAGGTGAGCTCACCCATCGCTGCCCTCACACCCCACCCACACAGCTCTGGGTCAATGCCAGAAGTCCCAGGGTAGACCCAACACACACCGGGATGGATAAGAGCTGACCACAGACATAGAATTCTCCAGAACACCTGCCCCCACACCTGCCACTGCTCACCCCTTTGTGCTTTGCTGGTTACAGACAACACTCCTGATCCTATGCTTGGTTTCACTTCTCCCCCGGCTCCACTGGCTTTGACCTTGGAAATCTTCCAAGACACATCTCCTAGATTAGCCATCCAGCCCCTCAGACCCCATCACTCCAGGTGAGGAGCGCCTGTGGCAGATGCTGTCGGTGCCTCGCCGTATCCCTACTATGGGCTTGCCCGCCCGGCTTCACCTCCAGCGTCTGGAGCTCTTGGCCTGAGGTCTTTAGCCAGCAGAGACCACTCTGTCCCTAAGAACAGCAGGCCGGAGCCCCAGGGAAGGATCCACCCCTTGGGAACAGCCTTTAACCAACAACTCATGCAGTTGGAGGCTAAGTACCCAGCTTCCTCATCACTCAGGATGACCCTGAGACACGTCTTCTGCTGGGCCCCAGAGCACTGGCACCAGGTCCCACGGCACACATGTGCTTGACCGTGCAGCAAGCCTGGCTCCCTCTGCTTCCCACGCCACTTCTCCACTCCTCTCCTGGTGCCCCTGGGGTCACCTCCAAATAAACTAACTGCATTTGGATCCTTTTCCCAGAATCCACTTCTGGCAGAAACCAAAACAGGACAGCGCCCCATCCCAGGCCACATGGGACCAGCCTCAGAGACCTGTATGCTGCTGGATGGGCAGAACAGACAGCAAAGTGGGTGGGGTTGGTGTCCCTTCCTGTCCAGTTTCTGGGACTCACCTCTGTGGCCACGCGCCACAGTCACAGATGGGACACCAAATACCACATCTCCCAGCAAATCCAAGAACCGGTCTTTCTTTTTGACAGGATCGTCTGTCCCTCCCAAATACTTCTCAATGACTGCTGGGATCAGTGCCTCAGGGATGTTCTGAAATGGAACCAAGAGTGAAAGGGGCTGCCACCCTGGTTGAGCGACTTCTCCCGCCAGTGAGCACGGCTGTCAAACCCTCCCTCCCCCAGTGTCCACAGTGATGCTCTCAAATCCTGTGCAAACCCACCCACCCCAGTGGGAATGTAGGAAAGGCCAAAAGTGGGAAGAAAACACTCTGGCCTCAGTCTTCAT